CTCTCTCTCTCTCTCTCTCTCTCTCTCTCTCTCTCTCTCTCTCTCTCCCTCCCTCCTTCTCTACTCCCATGCCCCCTTAGTCCTGCATGTGGGTACTTCATTCTAGTTTCGGAAGGAGCTGCTTCTCTGTGCTTGTCTACCTCCTCAGACTTAAGGGACAAGAATAGGGGCCAAATGTGGTAGATTCCAGGGAATGCCATGGACCAGGAAGAGAATATTGGTACACCACAGGTTTCCCCTGTGATGTCATGCTCTTGTTGGATAATCATCAGATCTTCAGATTGTATTTACTAATGTATTTAAAAATTAATCAGGAAGTAGACTCAGACACTGGTGAGTATCTTGAACATAGGAAACCTCAAAGCCCACCCCCACAGGGACATATTTCTTCTAACAAGGCCATATCTACTCCAACAAAGACATACCTCCTAATGGTGCCACTCCCTGTGAGTTTATGGGGGTCACTTACATTTAAACTACCACACCCTGTGTAGCCCTGACTGTACAGGAACTCAGTCTGTAGACCAGGCTGGCCTCAAACTCACAGAGATCCACCTGTGTGCGCCACCACCGCCTGGTAGCCCGAGGCAGTTTCTGCCAAGCAATGAGAAGGTGCTCCCAGCAAGAGGCCATCTCTCCTGTCCCGACTTAGGTGTGAGTGGAGGCCCATGGAGGAACTTGAGTCTGCCTCACCCTTAAGTCTCTGTTCCTCTCGTCCCTGCTGGGTTGTGGCTCTTCAGTTTCATCGTCTCAACCCTTCTTCCCAGCTGTTCATTTTTGCCTTTTTTTCTGTACTCTCTTGGGTCACATATCTTTGTAAAAGTGATTTAGTGAAGTCCCAGTTGCCGGCTTCCTGCCCCTTCTGCCCCATCCCTCATGCTTGTGCCTGGTCTGACACCTTGCCGTTCATTCCTCCAGAACGCGGACTTTCTCAGCACGGTCGGCTATGACAGCATCATCCAGCACCTGAACAATGGCCGCAAGAACTGCAAGGAATTTGAGGATTTTTTAAAAGAACGGTAAGTCGTCAGGCCTTCAACATGCCCCGCCCCCACTCCTGGACCGGGAATTGGTTGTCTTTCTTTTATAGAAAGCTATTTCTTGTTAGGATGCAGGCCTGCATGTGCTGCAGTGCGTCCGTGGGAGTCAGAGGACAACTTTGTGACCTTTACGTGGGTTCTGGGGATCGGACCCTGGCTGTCAGACTTGCCCCCCCAGCACTTCACCCTTGAGCCATCTCACCCTGTGTTTGTTGTTTTTGATTGTGTTCTCTAGTTCTGAAGACCCTCTGCTACAGGGCATGAAACCATCCCAAGGAGTGACTGGCATTATTCTAGAATTAATATTTGTTGTGTGGTATTTTACCCTTTTGGCTTTTTGAGGGGCCCACCCAAATAAGTCACACACACAAGCTTATTCTTAGTTATGAATAGCTGGTCTTAGCTTGGCTTGCTTCTCGCGAGCTTTTCTTAACTAATTATTCCGACTACCTTTTGCTTCTGGGCTTTTATCTTTCCTTCCTTCATTATATTTTACTTTCACTCCTACTCCATGCTGGCTGGGCAGTTGGGTGGCTGGGCGGCTGGGTGACTGGGTGGCTGGGTGACTGGGTGCCTGGGTGGCTGGCCCCTGACATCCTCCTCTCTTGGTTGTCTTGTTACTGTTCCTTCTTCTCCAGAGTTCTCCTATTCATCCTCTCTGCCTGCCAGCCCCACCTATCCTTGCTCCTGCTTCGCTATTGGCCGTTCAGCTCTTTATTAGGACCATCAGGTGTTTTAGACAAAGAATCACAGCTTCGCAGAGTTAAACAAATGCAGCCTAAGCAACAGTCACACCCCTTAAAATAATAATTCCCTAACAAACATTAGCATGCCTTCTCAAAAGAGGTTTTGTTTGTTTTGTTTTGTTTTAGCATAGCAGGTATCCAGCTCTGGCTAACGCCCATTGGGGAACCGGCCATGCGTAGATGGTTTTAGTAGCTCATCCACACCCTAGGCTTGTGCCTTCCACACACACTGTCATCCTTAAGTGTAGGTCCAGTCCCAGGTCACCACACTTTAAACCATTTAGACGGAGACATGAGACTGGCCACTCGGGCAGATGAGAGATTAACACAACAAAGACATTGCCAGAATTATTTAGTACACCAGTGTCGTTCTTTTCCAAGAGTTGTTACCTGGGGTTAGCTTGCCCACTTGGCAGAAGTCTACTTTCCTGGATAAGGGCACAGGGGACTTAATGGCAGGCCAGGGCCTATGCAGCCTCTTGAGCCACCCCTTAGAGTCATGTTCTTTGATAAGGAGATGAGTCGAATGTCATTTGTAATTTAGTTCTTTTGTTATGGGAATGAAGCCTAATTGGGGATCCTTCTTTGTAACAAACACCAGCATCCTAACATCCTAAATTTCACTGATCTCAACAGACCTGGTGGTGAGTATACTTCTTGTCCTCTGTGCATTTTGGAGGCAGTGCCCTCTTAGCTAAGTTCTACTTTGGGTGACGTAATGTCTTCTCAGCAAATCTGTTCGTAAACTTTACAACATCAGTTCTGACACTCACGTTTCTTCTACATTGATGCCTGTTCAAAAGTTTCTAGGAACCAATTTGAAAGATAAGATTTATAAATATAACAGCACAGGGAACGCAGTAAGCACACAAATTATACTAAGAAATTATCTTCAAGAGCTCTGAAGAGGCAGATTAAGAATCGGTAAAATAAACGGAGTGGTGACAGTGTATGCCTTTAATCCCAGCACTTGGGAGGCAGAGGCAGGAGGATGTCTGTGAGTTCAAGACTATGGAGTGAGTTCCTGGACAGCTAGGGCTGTTACACAGAGAAACCCTGTCTCGACCCCCTCCCTCACCAAAAAGAAAAAGAACTGACAAAATAGCCAGGCTTTGGTGGCGTACGCCTTAAATCCCAGCACTCAGGAGGTAGAGGCAGGCAGATCTCCGTGAGCCTGGTCTACGTAACAATTTTAAGACAACCAAGAACCTAATTGAGACCCTGTCTTGAAAGAAAAAAGAAAAAGAATTAGGAATTGGCAAAATACAATTTAAAAAAAAAAGTGAAGCAACAAAATTCTGGGGTAACTTCATGGAAGAGGGGATCCTTCCTTGCAGGGCTCTGGCAGGAAAGGTGGCCCGGACAGCTGTAGGAGGTGGGCGGTCTTGGAGGTGGCAGTAAGCAGCCCCGGGTGGTAAGAGGGAGGACCTCATTCAGACACCAGAAGGTGAGCGCTATGGGACAGGTGGGAACAGGACCTTGCTCTCTTGGAGTCTCTAGGGAGAACGTGGTTTGTGTTGCTTCTGGTGTCACTAGGAGTCTTTGTGTTTCATCCCCGTAGTCCCTACCCCTTCACTACTACAGGGAGGTCTTGGCTTGTGTCTTCACCTTCTCGTGACGATTCCTGCGATGATGGGTTAGGCGCTGGCCCTGCTCCAGGGTGCTCTCATCTTAGCTACTTACATCTGTAGTGCCCCATTCCAAAGAAGAGTACGTCAGAGATAACGGGGACCAGACTTGGACAGCCCATTACGGGCAGGAAGTGGAGACCTGGAGAGGGAAAGAGCAGCAGGACAAGAGTCTAATCACTTCCTCTTCTGGTCCCGCTTCCTTGGCCACTGTCAGGGACACGCATCAACGACATGCATCTCTCCAGATGTCTGTTTCCTCATCAGTACTCATGCTTTATAAAATCTCTGAGCAAGGAGCCTGGCTTCCAAAACAATTAATAACTCAACAGAAGCACTATTTAGGGGAATGTGTAACAAAATAAGCTAGAATGGATAAGTATTAGTTACTCGGGCAAAAGATTCCATTTTTCCATTACACTCTGACTTGGGGGGTCCCTCGAACTCCAGGCGGGGCAGTCAACAGAGATTGCTTTCAGGCCTGATGGCAAAGGCTATGTCTGATTATGCTGTCCACGAGTTGTTGAAGGAGATATGGCACGTGGATTATTATTCCTGGTCTGGGAAATTGAACGGAGAAGTCAAGGTGAGCATGAAGGGCTTTGTGAAGAAGCGTTTCCGGTCAAGCGTCGGCTTTTCAGAAAACGTGTGAAACTGGAGATCACCATTACATTGAAGAGAAATAGGGCAGACAGAGGAAGACAAATAGAACATGATTTTCCTCATGCATGGAAACAAATAAGATTGGAAAGTAAGAGAACAACAGGGAGGAAGGGAGAAGAAACGGCAAGAAGAGCCGGACGGGAGAGAAAACACTGTGGAGGGAAACCTGGTCTGTCTTACAGTCAACATGAATTAATTTTTATAGTAAAAAATAAATCAGCAGTTAACAGTGGAGGAGCAGGACCCCCCTCTTCTGTGTCTTGTGTTGTCTACATTTTCAAATAGCCCTGCTGTAGTTAATTACAGTGTTTATTTACACACCTACCCGCTCCACTGGCTCTTCCGTTCCAGTCTTCCAGTGTCCAGAGCACCCAGAAGGATGCCTAGCATGTGATGGATGTTCCAGAAATGACAACTTAGGGGCTGGAGGGATGGCTCAAAGGCTAAGAGCACTTGCAGCCCTTGCAGGGGACCAAGGCTCCATTCCCAGCATCCATGTGGCAGCTTACAAACATCCGTAACTCCACATCCAGAGGACTTGATGCCCCTCTTTTTTTAATGGCCTTTACGTGTTCTGCACACACATGGTATACAGACATAAATGCAGGAAAACACTCATACATATAAATTAAAAAAATAAATGAATCTTTTAAAAAAAGACAAACTGATAAACAGGAACCCTGAGGTGGTTTGTGGGTAGTGATCTAGGTAAAGGTTCCTCCAGTCAAAGGGGATTTCTACAAAGTCCTGGTGGTTCCTTCCTTGGCTATGGCCTCAGAACCCATCACTTCCCCTGTGCTTAGGATCTTCCTCTGTTTGTCAATGGTGGTTCCTCTGGTTTCCAGGCATGACTCCCGAGTTTCACTTCAGTAAAGCTGCCCCTTTTCTCCAGAAAGCAGACCACTGTGCTTGCTGGGGGTGGAGATCATGCCCAGTGTTGCCTCACTGCTAGAGGGCCTCCTCCTGGAAGACATCGGGGTTCTCTGGAGTCCTTCAAGAGCACTCAGGAAGGAGGATGGAGGACAAGAGACAGGGCTGCTCTGCTCGATTCTGCACGCAATAGACTTTGGAAGCTGAATGACAACTTTTGAATCACTGATGTTTAGTTCTTGCTGGTTCCAATACCAAAGTAAAGTAGGGAACTTCCCAAAGCTGGAGACAAAGTCCTGGAGAGATTGGCTTGGTTTGAGGAGCTACTCTACTTCCACGGAGAGGACAGATCAGATAAGAGCCATGACTCAACACAGAGAGAGGCCCAGGAGATCCGCACTTGAACTTTCAGTAATAAGAAAAAGAGGGAGAGGCCAGACAGTGAGCAACACTGGCGGAGGAGGGAGGAGAGATCCCAGGAAAAGTCTCCTTTCTACACCAGGCAGTCATGGGAGGTCATTTTAAAAAATACCAGCAGTCTCTATGGCTATCGTGCCCGAGACCTCTTTGAATCATGCTCTCGGCAAACTCAGAACAAGTGCCACGGGATAGCATGCTGAAAACCTGGCCAGGATGCTTCTAGACAAGAGGCAGAAACTTTGATGCCGTCTTCGGTGAGATGGAACCTCAGTAGGAGCAGAGTCGGCAGGGGAATGTTGATAGACCCAAGTTCTAAGCAGCAAACTGGGCATCAGGAAAGGCTATACCCGGGCAGGGCCAGCACTGACAACTGACCTCCTGAAAGGCTGTTCATAGGTGTGACCAGCATCTAAGACCCAACAGTCCTCTGTGAGCCAAAGGAAGGAACAGTTAGACTAGCAAACAACCTAACTGCATCAGACTCCATCCTGTATGTCGCTCTCTTCCCTTTCTTTATTCTTCCTTACTTAACACCAGGGTCAGATTAGCCTTCCAGCTCTGGCCTCCTTTGCTTTTGCCCTCCATCTCAGTTTTTCTGATTTTCACTTTCCCTTTTCAAAGCGCACAGACTTTCCCTGGTTTGTATGATTTC